TCTCCCAAGATCAGAAATAAGACGATGAAGCATCTTTCACCACCACTAGTCAACATTGTAATGGAGTTCTAACCAAAGCAATTACGTAATAAAAAGAAATAAAAGTCATCCAAATTGGGAAGAAAGTAAAACTATCTCAGCTGTTTTTGTAAACACCAGCAATGAGCAATCCAAAAAGGAAATTAAGGAAACAATTTGATTTATAACAGGCTATGAAAGGATAGAATACCTAGAAGTAAATTTAACCATAGAGGTAATAGACTTGTATACCACAAAATACAGAACATTGCTGAAAGAAATTATAGAAGACCTCAAGAAATAGAAAGACATTCCATCTTTTTTATTTTTTTTGAGACAAGGTCTGGCTCTGTCACCCAGGCTGGAGTGCAGTGGCGTGATCTTGGCTCACTGCAACCTCTACCTCCCAGGTGCTGGGACTGTAGGCGCATGCCACTACGCCCAGCTAATTTTTGTATTTTCTGTAGAGACAGGATTTTGCCACGTTGCCCAGGCTGATCTCCAACTCCTGAGCTCAAGCAAACCACCTGCCTTGGCCTCTCAAAGTGCTGGGATTACAGGCGTGAGCCACCACACCTGGCCAACATCCCATATTCTGTATTGGAAGACTTAAAATTATTAAGACAGCATTACAATGCAATTCCAATCAAGTTCCAGCAGAATTTTTTTTTTTTTTTTTTTTTTTGAGATGGAGTCTCGTTCTGTCACCCAGGCTGGAGTGCAGTGGCGGAAGCTCAGCTCAATGCAACCTCCGCCTCCCAGGTTCAAGCAATTCTCCTGCTTCAGCCTCCTGAGTAGAGGGACTACCAGCATGCGCCACCACTCCTGGCTAAATTTTATATTTTTAGTAGAGATGGGGTTTCACTCTGTTGGCCAGGCTGGTCTCAAACTCCTGGCCTCAGGTGACCACCTGCCTCAGCCTCCCAAAGTGCTGGGATTATAGGCGTGAGCCACCACGCCTGCCCAGATTTTTCTTTATTTGAGAAATAGAAAAGCTGATCCTTAAGTTACAAAACTGCAAGAGGCTTGAATAGCCAAAGCAATCTTGAAAAGGTAGAATTCACACTTCCTGATTCAAAAATAAGCCAATGATTTAAATATAAAAGCTACAAAATTATTAGAAGAAATATAGAAGTAAATCTTCATGACTTTGGATTGGGCAATGGATTCTTAGAAAAGACACCAAAAGCACAGTAACAAAAGAAAAAAAATCTGACTTCATCAAAGTTAAAAACTTTTGTGCTTCAAATGACTATCAAAAAAGTGAAAAGACAGCCTATGGAATGGGAGAAAATATTTGAAAAAATCATCTATCTGATAAGAGCATCCAGAATATATTAAAGAACTCTTACAATTCAAGGGGGAAAAAAAAACCCAATTACAAAATGGGCAAAGGACTTGAATATACATTTCTTCAAAGAAGATATAAAAATGACCAACAAGCACATGAAAATATGCTCAATATCAGCTGGGCACAGTGGCTCATGCTTGTAAGCCTAGGACTTCAGGAGGCCAAGGCAGGTGGATTACCTGAGGTCAGGAGTTCAAGACCAGCTTCGCCAACATGGTGAAACCCCATTTTTACTAAAAATACAAAAATTTGTCAGGTGTGGTGGCGGGCACCTGCAAACCCAGCTACTCAGGACGCTGAGGCAGGAGAATCTCTCGAACCCAGGAGGCGGAGGTTGCAGTGAGCTGAGATCATACCACTGCACTCCAGCTTGGGCAACAGAGCGAGAATCCATCAAAAAAAGAAGAAGAAGAAGAAGAGGAAGAGGAAGAGGAAGAGGAAGAAGAAGAAGAAGGAGAAGAAGGGGAAGAAGAAGGAGGAGAAGGAGAAGAAGGAGAAGAGGGAGAGGTAGAGGGAGAGGGAAATATGCTCAACATCATTAGTTATTAGGGAAATACAAATAAAAACCACGAGATACCACTTCACATTCTCTTGACCGGCTATAATTTTTAAAAAGGAAAATAATAAGTGTTGGCAAGCATGTGGAGAAATTGGAACCCTCATGCATTGCTGATAGAAGTATTAAATGGTTCAGCCACTGTGGAAAGAGTTTGGAGTTTCCTCAAAAAAGTAAACATACAAGGTTAAACATATGACCCAGATATTTACTACTCCCAAATATTTACCCAAATGAATTAAAAATATATACTCAAAAAAAATTCATCTACAAATGTTCATAGCTGCATTATTTGCAATTGCCAAAGCAAGGAAACAGCTGAAATGTCCATCAACAGATGAATGGATAAACAATTGTGATATATATATACAATGGAGTATTATTCACCCATAAAATGGAATGAAGTACTGGTGCATGCTACATAGTAAATGAACCTCAAAAACTACAGAAATAACATTTCTCACCCAATTGTTTTGGCGAAAATTCAAAAGCATGACAACCCGTTCTGTTAGTGAGACTGTAGGAAACATGCACACTCACATTGTTGGTGGCATTACAAAAAGGTATAATCTTTACGAAGTAGAAATGGGCAATATCTTGCCAAACTATATGTGCATTTATCCTTTTTTTTTTTCTTTTGAGACGAAGTCCAGCTCTGTTGCCCAGGCTGGAGTGCAGTGGCTTGATGTTGGCTCACTGCAACCTCCGCCTCCCAGGTTCAAGTGATTCTTCTGCCTCAGCCTCCTGAGTAGCTGGGACTATAGGCGCTTGCCACCATGCTTGTCTAATTTTTTGTATTTTTAGTAGAGATGGGGTTTCACCATGTTGACCAGGCTGGTCTCGAACTTCTGACCTCATGATCTGCCCGCCTCAGCCTCCCAAGGGCTGGGATTACAGGCATGAGCCACTGTGCCCGGCCATGCATTTATCCTTTTAACCAACTATCACACTTTTAGAAATGTACTGATATTATACCTCCAACGATACAGAAAATTATGCATCATTGTCCATTGCAGCATTATTTATAATAGCAAAATCTTGGAAACTACCTAAATGCCTAAATATAGGAGACTGGCTATATGACTAAGGTGCATGTGCAAGGGATGTCAAATGCAGCTGTAATACAGGAAAAATCGTTATGAACTACTGGAGAGCAGTTTTCAGGATATATTGTTAAATGAAAACAACAAGGTGCAAATGAGTATATTTGTGCAAGAAAAACAGAGTTGAGAGTTCAAGTAACTAATTATCTTAAATCAAGAATTTCCAGAGAATTGATAAAGAAGGGCTGCTACTCAGCACATCCTATGAAGTCAGCATAAACTTGCTACCAAACCAGGCAAGGACAATATGAGAGAGAAAAATTACAGGCCCAGTTCATTATGAACATAGATGTAAAATACCTCCAAAATAGCAAACTGAACCAAACAATATAAAAATGATAATATTTAATGATCACCTTATATTACCATAGAAATGGCTTAATGTTTGAAAATCTGAATGTTCAACGCATTAACAGATTAAAGGAGATAAAAATGTTATCATCTCAATATACACAGAAGAAAGCAATACACATAATCTGACATAAACATATTTAAAATTTCTTGTTATATTAGGAATGAAAGAAAACTTTCTAAACCTGATAGAGGGTGCTTATGAGACACTAAAGTGGAGACAGTTCTAAAAGAGAAAACAAGAAGTTTTCATTTTAAATCGGGTATCAGACAAAAATACACACTATCACCACTTACAGATGATGATGTACTCAAGGGCCTAGCCAGCACAGTGAGGCATTAAAAATGGCTTAAAGTTTGAATAAGAAAACTATAACTGTTCTTATTTGGATATGATAAACACTGAAGAGAACACACAAAGAAACCATAATAAACAACGGGAGAATTTAGCAAGCTAACTAGCTACAGATTCATTGAAAGAAGAAAAGATCCAAGGTTTAAAGAGAGGAAAGCAAGTTTGAAATAGTATTTGTAAAGAGTGGGAACCCTGGCTTACTTAGTTGAAGAAACTTAGTAAGACTACCAAACCCTTTTTGGTCTGGTGATGGTGCATCTATTGTGCTGTTTAGTAGCACAGTTGAATTATTTTCCCCCAGCAACAAATATCTGCCTAGGTTCAAGCTTCAATGAAATTGATGGTTGGATTCACTCAGGGCTGCAGTTTTTGTAGGCAGATTCAAACAAGGAGATTTAAATGACAGGTTCTGAATCCTACATTGATAGAAAGAAAAGTAATCACCTAGAGGGGAGGACTATAAAATAGGGAAGTGAAGAGTCAATGTTTGTTGGTTTCAGTCAAATAATTGTTATGGTGGAGATTTTTGAGCCAACTGGAAAGTTAACTTCTCTACATGAGCAGTAAACAAAAGGAATTAATTGAAAAGTTATGATACCATTTACAATTTCCTTTTAAAACTTCAAGCCTCAGACCGGGCACGGTGGCTCTCATCTGTAATCCTAGCACTTTGAGAGGCTGACGAGGGTGGATCACCTGAGGTCAGGAGTCCAAGACTAGCCTGGATAACCCCAGTGAAACCCTGTCTCTACTGAAAATACAAAAATTAGCCGGACGTGGTGGTACACACCTGTAATCCCAGCGACTCAGGAATTGCTTGAACCCAGGAGGAGGAGGCTGCAGTGAGCCGAGATCGCACCACTGTACTCCAGCCTGTGTGACAGAGTGAGACTCCACCAAAAAAAAAAAAAAAAAAAAAATTCAATCCTCTGTGAATAAATATAACAAAGACATGTACAATTTCCACAGGGAAAAATTATTTAAAATGTTAAGGGATATGAATAAGATCTAGATACAGATGAAAGAGATAGCAAGGTCAAGACTAGAGGGATAAAGGAGGATATGAAAACACTATATGACCCTGGAGTGGGTGTGATTGGGAGGTGCTTGGATTTCCGCCCTGCCTGCTTTGATTGGAGTACACGGTGAAAGGCTAATCACACTGGGCCTCCACTTTGCCCTCTTTCCTTCTCTTCTCGTCACAGCAGTGCCTGGTCAAACCCAGCAATCCTTGGCCAGAACTTACTCACCCGTCCCACTGGCACCATGAAGCCTGTGCTGCCTCTCCAGTTCCTGGTGGTGTTCTGCCTAGCACTGCAGCTGGTGCCTGGGAGTCCCAAGGAGCGTGTTCTGAGTAGGTGCTGGGTCTGGGCCCAAGGAGGGAAGTAACATTTGTGGACAGGAGAGGATCTGAGGGCTGACAGTCTGTCACACCTCTTGGAAAAATACAGTGTCATGTTCAAGGGCCCAAGCTTTATTATTGGCAAGATCTAGGTTTGAATCCCTGCTCTGTTGCTGAGTGACCTTGGGCAAAGTATCTGGGTCTTAGGTTTTTATCCTTATAATGAACACAATTATATGGGGATCGTTGGAGGAGAACAGATAATGCATGCAGACATAGCTCACTCTTACTAAACCATGGTAAATGCTCAGTAATATTAAATGCTGTAAACGTGATCAGCTTCATCATCCAGCTTAGTCTTGCTGCCCATGGCTCCTTCATGGATGCTTGGATTCCCTTTTCAAGCATTAAAACAGAGAGACAACAAAGTTGGTAGAACTCAAGCTGGAATCTACATAATCTTGGCCTTGAAGGATGTTTTGGGAAGGAAGGAAAGGAAGTTTTGCATTTTATTCCACATTTTCAAACTCCAGAGGTACTGCAGAATTACCGGCAATTAGCATCAATGGGACAGTGTAGAGTCCATCTCAGTAGCCACCACTGCCCAGCTCAACTCAAAAGAGCTCTAGCTATAGTAATGTTGACCTTAGCCAATACCAAGTGGGAAAAGAACTGTTATTCATCATACATCCACTTTTCTATGGGGAAAACATCTTCAGAATACTGGTGGCTCAGAAGAGGGATATGTGTGGTAGCTCATGTGTCTAGGGAGGCTAGATCCTGCTTTAGAAGTTTCAGAAAAGTCATGTAGGTTTGTAGGACTAAGAGGGACTGAGCAAGCTACAAGAAAACAGGAGTGCCCAGGGTAGAGTTAATTGAAAAATCAGAATTTGAGGAAAGGCACAAAGAGGCTTTCTAAAAGGCTGGTAAGTGCTGTGAGTGAAGTTGGGACCAGATACCCAGAAGAGGGGTCAAGACTTGAAAAGGGTGACCTCTCTGAGATCTCTGGATCATGGTGTCTATCCCTAAACTGCTCTATTGAGCCCCAGGCTCTTCAAAGTGTGGACTAGTTCCAATTTCTTGCAGTGCCCCAGTGAGCTACAGAAGAGCTGAGAGGCCAGGGGTGAGTACTAGTTATTGGTCTCTGTTAAATTGTCAACAGCTTGGACCTCAGCTTATTTTACCCCAATTCTGGTGCCATTTGCTTCTACAGTTATAGTCATGACCTCTTTCTTCATTCATTCCTTTCAAACCATCATAATATCCTATAGATTTCCTTCTAATTGCAAATATTTGCAGAGCAATAGACCCACAGATGGGCAATAGAATGCCCCACTTTTGACTTTTGCCCCCAAAGAAAGGGAGAGTCACAAGATACAAAAATTAGGACCTGGAAGGGCTTGGGGAAAGGGGTTAATGGGGCCCATCCTTAGAGTCCAGGAATAGAAAGGAGACTGTGGGTTGTGGCCTTAGGAAAGAATCTCCCAGGGCAGGTAGGTCTTAGCTTTGAACTGAAATACTTGGGGGTAAGGGAGGAAATAGGAAGTAAACATAAAGATGCTTATTCTTCTCTAACAGTAGAAAGTGGGGCATCCTGGTGCTCTGGCCTCCTGACTGAGAGACACCACGGAAGAAAAAGAAGCTGAATATTTGAACCCCATTCTGAAATCCCCACCCTTCTTACCACGAAAGAAGTCATTCTCAGAACTTATTTGTGAATTGGGTCCCAGCTCTCTGATCCAGTACCTTCAGTTTACTGCTTGGTCTTCATCCTTTACCAAAACTTACCTTTCACTCATTATTCCTATACACAAATAACCCACATTAGGTTAACCCCAGGGTAAACTATGTTGTTACCAAGAAGCTCTACAACTTGCTCAAGAACACACAATGAGTCAGTACAGAACGAACGTACAAACCTCTTTCTTGTTCACCACATACACCATTAATACCCTTGATATCGATCCAACCATAGTCAATGGGGACTTGGCATCTGAACTACAAGGATGGTGAATGACCAGTGGGTGCAGGGTTCTACCGAACTCTATTCTTGATCAAAAAATATCCATGCCCTGCTTCCCTGCTCAGAACTCAGACGAAGGCAGCAGCTGAGGACAAACCTGATGCCACCACCCTGGAACCATGCAAGGCAGATGAGGGTGGCAGGTTTCCTGGCAGTTCCCTGGGCTTTCTGAGTTCTGAACATTACTCCAGCCTGTTGGTGAGGCCCTTCTCTTACTTGTTCTGTGTTCCAGAGTATATCTTGGAACCTCCACCCTGCATATCAGCGCCTGAAAACTGTACTCAACTGTGTACAATGCAGGAAGATTGCCAGAAAGGATTTCAGTGCTGTTCATCCTTCTGTGGGATAGTCTGTTCATCAGATACACTTCAAAAGCGCAAGAGGTAAGAATATCTCATATCCAGGCCTGATCCTAGAGCTGCTGGTGGGAGCCCAGCAGAAGAGTCTCTTACCAGCAACTGTGCTGGATCTCTCCTTTCTTTTTTCTTGGTGGCCATGTTGCCAACATGCCAAGGGCAATTTCCATAAAAGTCCTGATTAGAAAAGCCCTCCTCCCCTCCCAATCACCACATCCCATCACCACATCCATGAATCTCTGTCTCTGCCTCTCTGAACTCACCCACAAATCCCTTTATCCACAGACCTTCCCCCGACCCAGAATCCACCCTTATCCCAGGGACACTCTACCTGCAGGTGTAACCAAAATCCCAAAGCAAAATTTGTCCTACACTTTTGCTTGCCCTCCTTTCACAAGACACCATCCTTTGGCCACCAGTGTTCTTGGGCTCTGGAGATCCAGCCCAAAGGAAGTTTTGGTTAATTGTACAGACATTAACACTAGCCGCAAGCCTGCTAAATGGAGTGTGCTCCCAGGGCACAGAAAGAACATAGGGTGCTGATGAGACATATGGTTTCTAATCCCATCTTGCAACTATGTCTTTCTATGACCTTGAGTAAGACAATTCCTTCTTTTTTACTTTCTTTTTCTCATGAGTAAAATAAGGACTCTTGTTTTTTCCTACTTTGCAAGGCCCAAATGAAATTTCAAAAGACCCACAGTGAAAGACTCAACCAATGAGCCTCTTGAGGGAAGCCTGGCAGTCTTGTTCCCTGCTGTATTCCCTACCATGAGCAGAATACCCAGCATATGAGATAATGTGCAGAGTGATTAAGCATGGGCTCAAAGCCAAACACCTGCGCTCAAATCCTGGCTCTACCACTTCTTAGATAAGTGACCTTAGACAAGCTAATGAACCTCTCTCTGGGCATCAACTTCCTCATCTTTAAGACTGGAATAATAATAGTGAGGTTAAAATAGACAATCCATGTAAGCTTTAAAACATTACTTGCCAACATAATTGCTGTGAATGCTGGCGATTAGGCAACCACTTCTTTTTGAAGAGACTAGCCCTTGCAATTAAATTCCACATCTTTCAATGTTCTACGTTGGAATGCAGAAGTATATATATAACTCTTTGGTGTCATTGAGTTTTTTGAGGTTCTGCATTCCCTATAGCGAGAGAACTGAGATTCATGGTTTAATGTTAATGGTGGAAGTAATTGAAAGAAAAAAATATATCTCTAAAAATAAAACTTCACCAGTTAATATTTGAAAATCTTTTTCTTCTACAGATACAAACCCAAGGGCTCAGAAGTCATCATGCCTACCAACTGAGGCATATTTCCTAGCGCATTTTGTAAGTAGAGGGATTTGGTCTGGCCTTCCTTGTGTGAGATTCCCAGGGATGCTCACTTTCTTCCTGTACCCTCACCAGGGGCACCACATTCCCACAAGATCAGAATGGCCTCTCATTACCTGATTGCCCCCTCCTCCATCATTCCCCTCCAAGGGCTATCTTTGCACTCCCTGAAAGGGGCAGGGTGCAGTCCAGCATGAATTCTGCAACACAGAGCAACATGAGGAACCAAGTCATGGCCCAGGGGGAACCCAGGGCACTCAGATCTGAGGCTTTGTCAGGGAACAAGCTCTTCCAGCCTCCGGGTTAACAGCACCCTGGGCAAGGACTCAAGCTGAGCCCTTCACGCTCTGAGACTTTGGTCTGCTCACTGTACCTCTCTGAGACAGTCACCTCCCTCATTGAAAGATGAAGAAAACATCCATGCCTTGGGGTATTGGGAGGACAACACAAGGTCATGTAGATGGAAGAACTTGGTCTCTGCAAAGGTAGAAACTGTCAGCAACTCACTTACAAGGTCACTCATTCTGGGTTCCAGTTTTTTCTCTGAAAAAAGAGGGAGTGGGCCGGATGCAGTGGCTCACACCTGTAATCCCAGCACTTTGGGAGGCTGAGGTGGGCGGATCACGAAGTCAGGAGGTCGAGACCAGCCTGACCAACATGGTGAAACCCCGTCTCTACTGAAAATACAAAAATTAGTTGGGCATGATGGTGCGCACCTGGAATCCCAGCTACTCAGGAGGCTGAGGCAGGAGAATTGCTTGAACGCAGGAGGCGGAGGTTGCTGTGAGCCAAGAGCACGCCATTGCACCCCAGCCTGGGCAACAGAGTGAGACTCCATGTCAAAAAAAAAAGAGGGAGTGGGAATCATCTTTATTATTTTACTGATGCTTCAAGAATAGTGAACAAAATGGAGTCCTGTGGAATTCCACCACCAAAAAAAAAAAGATAGTATTCATAAGTTGGTGGATTTTGTTTCAGAGTATTTGAAAGAAAAAATTAGAAGTTTAGGGTCTTCTAATGGGCCTTCTGATGTCTCCAGATGTTCCAAATTAGAATGGTGGTCTTTCATCTTAGTCCTTTAATTAACCCTGTACAAAGGAACGTGATAAATAGTAGCAGGTGGAGGCCAGTGGAGCAGTTTAGGCGCATGAGCACTTGCCCAGGCTCTAGTGAGCCCACCATGCTGCTGATGAGCTCCTACTCATGCTTCAAGGTTCCTATTAAATTAAACACTCCATAGAAACTTCACCGGTTCACTCCAGACAGAATTAGTCCCTCTGTTTGTCTTTTGCAGTGCCCTATCTTTGTCCTACCATAACCTTATCAGACTTTCTTATAATTGTTCAAGTTAGCATTTTCTTTGTTTAGAGTATGAGTCCCATAAAAGCAGAAACTGTGTCTGACTTCTTTGCCATGGAACCCTGGCACCTAGCGCCAGGCCTTGCACATAGTAAGGATACAATTCAGACTTTTCAAATAGGGTTGAGAAGAGGCTGACAAAAAGTAGATCAATTCTAACATTTGATGAGTTTTCCCTACAAAGAAAATCTTCACTGAACAGTCCAAAGTCCCTCAAATATCAGCTGCCTACTATTTTCTTAAAACTATATTTACTTATGAAAACTTACAATATGCTAAAAAAACAAAAAAAGAAAGCCCGATGGTATCCATTCACATGGGGTAATATCTCTGTACTATGGTCAAGGGTCCTAGCTACTCTGGGACACAGTCCAGCTCTGGCCTGCTGACCTGGTGATGCTGGGCACCTCCTAAGTCCTCGGAACCCCAATGTGTCCATCTGTAAAATGCAGATGGAAAATATCTAACCCTTAGCTGTGTCATCAAGATGAAATAAAAGGACACATGCAAAGCACATAGAAGACTGCTGGCAGAGAATATAAGAAGAACGTATTATTATCCACATCTTGTCAATTCTTCCTTTATCCAAAATTCCTGTTTTATAAAGGGATCACAGTGTACTTTCTACCTTAAACTCCAGTTGTTTGGTTGGTTGCTTTTTAATTTCTCTGAGTCAGTGATCAGTGAACATTGCACTTGTTTTAAGTTAACGCAGTATTCACTGATCTTCAAAATATCTTCTTAAGAGAGAACAAGGTAAAAAGTACTGCATCAAAATAATGTGATTAAATCTCATGATGAAAGATAGGCTAATTTAACAGAGATCTGAATTCCTCTACTAAATTTCCAGTGAGTGACTATGGAAGACTTTGCTTCCCTCTGCAAATCCCCTATGAATGTTACCAACCTGGAAATGTGTGGTCACCTAGTCCCACAATTCTACTTTTCTTCCAATTGCAGCCCTTCTAAATGAACTTTTCCCAAGATAAAATTATCTTGTCCATATCTTGCTCTTCTCTTCAATGACACCATTCTAATCTGACTCACTCCCTAGTGACCCCTGGTCCAGGGCAGGAAATACTGTTCAGAAAATCTATAGACTCTTTTACTACCAGAAACTGACCATATGTGGTTCAAATTGACCTGAGTGAGGAAGGTCTCTTACATACAGGTTGGCTATCACTGTTTCAATAATCTGAGTTTGATCTATCCAATACTGTAGGCACTGGTCACAAGAGGCTATTTAAATGTTAATTCATATGAATTACAATAAAATAAAATATTCAATCAGTTTCTTAGCCTTACTTTCCATTTCAAGTGTTGAATAACCACATGTGGTTAGTAGCTACCATATTGCACATTATAAACATGGAACACAGAAAGTTCTAATGGAAAGCATTGCTTTAAGCTACACAAAGCTGATGGCTAAAAAATGATGGCTAATTAAAGGTCATCATGACAGAGGGCACCCTCTATGACAGCCTCATGTTAGACTCCAGGAAAAGTTTTTGGGGGCTATTTATTTAAGGAGTTCCTAAGCATAGCCTGACAAGAGACAATTCAATGACAGTAATTCTCTAGAGACCCAACATGATATCACCCATGAATGTTTAAAGAATCCAGAAGAACAAGTGGACTAATTATGTTTCCTTCCCCACAGGCCTCTACAAAGTTTTTTCTTGGTCCACCTTTAGGAAGGTATTGAGAAGCAAGAAATTGGAGGCCCAATATCTAACTTGCAAATCATTTTTTAGCTTGGCAATAAAGGCTAATCTACCATAAAACTCTTGAAGCTTAAACTTTAGGTCAACACTTGCAAGAGCCCCTTCCAAAGCTCAGCACACTTTCCTCCTGGAATGAGGAGAGGAAGCAGGAACCCCACTTTGGCATAGAGATAAACAGCACTGTTCCAGTCCAGGGATGCTGTCTGTGCCCTGGTGGTGGTCTTAAGGACCTATCACATCAATATCTGGACAACCCTCACTTATTACGTGTCCTAGGTTCCACTCATCAGGCTAATTGATCCCAAATTTAACCTCAGGGAGAAATATCAACCAGACACTGCACAGCAACCTCCTTGGGGCCAGCCTTCAAGTCTTCATGGCCATATCATGAACCCAGGACAGACACAGTGGGGGTGGTGAGGACCTGATAAAGATGGATCAGTGACTAAGAGGCTGCAATAAGGTGTCATGAAATCAAAATCAAAGGGCTAGAACTCTCCAAGGTCTTGCCCCAGGCACGTAGCACCACCTGAGCCAGAAACTGCAGAGGACATGACAGATGTGGCATTACTGATAAGTTATGGGAATGGAAATAATCTTTCCTAAACTACCAACCATAACTTTAAATTTTTGATCAACCATGCTAGAGCAAAGACTGAATTATCCTTCTGTTCTCGCTATAGAAATGATATAAAAATTATAGTCATAAGAGACAATCAAAAATAATTAGCCACAAAATATTAAAAAGGTATTATGAAGGTATTTAAAATAATAATAATAAAGCGTGTTATTTTTCTGGGATTCATGATATTTAATGTGTTCGTAAGCTTTTGTAAGTTTGTAACTTGTTGCAATTTATTTTTCATTTCAAATAAATATTCACTTACGTGCCTAATTTTGCGTTAGTAGTTCTGCATTATTTTTCTAAAACAAGATATCCATAATTATACAAGCATCAAGTTCCACAAAGCCTGGGCCTTTCTCTGCTTGGCTCCTTTACTTCACCTCTGTACCAGTGAGCCTTGTGTTCCTCATTAGGAAAACAGCATAAGCAATTGTTCTTCATTTTGACAAGACTATACAAAAAGATCAAATGATATAATATGCATAAAAATATGTTGTACGCACTGTGACAGAAATATGAATGGTTATGATTATTGTTAACATTTTGAGGACTTACTGCGAAGGGTGAGATATAAGGAATGGCATTAAGGAAGAAGAAAAATGGATTATCACCCCTTCATCAGTGAATATAATCTATACACCATGACTTTTCACTTAACCATAGTTGTGCTACTATGGCCAGTCATCTAAATTCTTCAAAACTTGAATTTTTCATGCTTAAAATAGAGATAACACCACTTACCTTACATAATTTGTGACACTAAGTTCTTGATTGTAGTCTGGTGGTTGGGAGGCTTAAGTAACCAGTAACTCAGCAGTATGAACTTGCTTTGAAGGTAACATGGCCGGACTGGAAAGTACCTGACACATAACCATACAGGACAGGCTGACCCTCCAGGATGAAATCTTGAAGGGATGCTTCAGCCAACCATGAGTTTATTTAGTTTATTAAGAACAAGTGACAGGCATGGGGAATGTTGGAAAAGATGCTCTAATAGGTAGGTCCAACTCTTCCCCAGGGGAGTGAATAAAGATGAAAAGCTAAGAGACAAGAATGTGGCCACAATGAAGCCAGAATAAAACTGGTCAAAAAATAACGATGCTTATGGATATCTTGCAAATTCTTGCTGGGAGTTATCTTCTAAGTCCATCCCAGCAGAGATGGTGAAAGATCAGTAGTTCAGTAGGGGCTATACCAAGTCAATAAGGAGGCTTGGGAGACACAATGAAAGAAGAGTCACCTTTTCTTGCTGTCACCTGGGAAGAAGATAAATATGAATAATATGAAGACTGTGGCCCTCTGGAGAGCACCCCTGTCACTCTGTCATTGTCTCCTTTAAGTGCTTAGTCAACAATGCAACATAATTTTAGGTTTGCTGGGAAAGGTGGGTTTGGCTGTGTTAGGAATGGAATTTACAATTTTGAAGGTGAAATCTTGTTTGTTCATGGGTTCTGCTTTCCAGGCTCAGAGCCAAGACTCGTATACAAGTTTTGAGGACAAAACTTTGTTTAATTCGTCTCTATATACCCAACATTGAGAATAGTTACTGAAATATAGTAGGAGCTCAATAAGTAAGTACCTTTTAATGAGGGGAGAAAGGATAAAATGCTAAAATATTGAGGCAGGAGAATTGTTTGACTCTCAGGAGGATGCAGTGAGCTGAGATCATGCTGCTTCACTCCAGCCTGGATGAAAGAGTAAAACTCTGTCTCAAAAAGGAAAAAAAGAAAGAAAGAAAGAAAAGAAAAGTACTTGAGAAAAATTCAACATTTTTTTCATAGTAAAAACTCTCAACAAATTAGGTATACAAGCCATGTACCTCCATATAATAAAGGACGTATATAACAAGCCCATAGCTAACATCATACTCAATAATGAAAAGCTAAAAGCTTTGCCTCTAAGATCAGGAATAAGACAAGGATGCCCACTCTCACCACTTCTATTCAACAAAATACTTGAAATCCTATCCAGAACAATTAGGCAAGAAAAAGAAATAAAAGGCATCCAAGTATGAAAGGAGAAGGAAACAGAGACAATAGGAAAATTGTCTCTGTTTACAGATGGCATCTTATGTGTATAAAACTCTAAAGACTCAATAACAAAAATATCTGTTGGAACTAATAAACAAATTCAATAAAGGTGCAGGATAAAATAATCAATATACAAAAATTAGTTGAATTTCTCTACACTAACTGTAAACTATCCATAAAAGAAATCAAGAAAAATAATCCCATTTACAATAGCATGAAAAAGAATAAAATAGAAGTAAATATAACCAAAGAGATGAAGGATCTGTACACTAAAAACTACAGAATATTGATAAAAGAAATTATAGATGAGACACAAAAAATGAAAAGATATCCCATGTTCATGTGTTGGAAAAATTAATATTGTTAAAATGTTCATAATGCCCAAATTACTCTACAGATTCAATGCAATATCTATCAAAATTCCAATGATATTTTTCACAGAAATAGAAAAAATAATCCTAAAATTCATGTGAGCTACAAAAGACACTGAATAGCTAAAGAAATTCTGAGCAAAAAGAACAAAGCTGGAAGCATCACACTTCCTGATTTTAAACTATATTGCAAAACTACAGTAATCCAAAAAGTATGGTACTAGCATAAAAAACAGACACATATGGCAATGAAACAGAATACAGAGCCCAGAATTAAACCCATGCAGATATGGTCAACTAACTTCCAGCAAAGGCACCAAGAATATACAACAGGGAAAGGATAATCTCTTCAGTAAATGATATTGGGAAAACTCACACCATACACAAAAATCAATTCAAAATAGATGAAAGACTTAAACATAAGACTTGAAACTGTAAAACTCTTAGAAGAAAACAGGGACAAAGTTCCATTGGTCTGGACAATGATTTTTTAATTTGAAACCAAAAGCACAAGAAACAAAAACACAAATAAACAAGGGGGACTACACTTTCTGCACAGCAAAGGAAACAATCAACAAAATGAGAATGCAACCTATGGAATGGAGAAAATCTTTGTAAAAAATGCATTTGATAACAGTTAATATACAAAATATATAAGGAACTCCTACAACTCAATAACAAAAAAAAACACAATTAAAAAATAGTAAAAGGCCCTGAATAGACATTTTTTCAAAGACATACTAATGGCCAACAAGTCTATGAAAAGATGTTCAACATCATTAATCATTAGGAAAATGCAAATAAAAACCATATGAGCTATCATATCACACTTGCCAGGTGCCTATTATCAAAAAGTCAAAAGATAAGTGTTGGCAAAGATGTGGAGAAAAGGAAACCCTTGCACACCGTTAGTGGGAATTCAAAATGGTGCAGCCACTATGGAAAACAGAGTGAATGTTCCTTTTAAAATTAAAAATAGAACTACCATATGATCCACTGATCCCACTTTTGAATATTTATTCAAAATTATTGAAATTAGGATCTCAAAGAGATATTAGCACTTAGCACTTCTATGTTCATTGCAGCACTAGTCACAACAGCCAAGATGTGAAAACAATCTTATTACATTGACAGATGAAGGCATTTTTTGAAATGTAGTATATGCATACATTGGAATACTATTCAGCCTTTAAAAAAGGAAATTCTGTAACATGTTACAACATAGATGAACCTTGAGGACATTATGCTAAGTGAAAAAAGCCAGTCACAGGAAGATAAATACTTCATGACTCCACTTATAAGAAGAATCTAAAGCAGTAAAATTTATAGAATCAACAGTGAAACAGTGGTTGTCAGGGCCTGGGTGGAGGTGAAATGGGTAATTAGCAGTTAACAGGCATAAAGTTTCAGTCAAGCAAAAGAAATAAGTTCTAGGGATCTAGTATACAACACAGTACCTATAGTCAACAAAAACATACTATACACTTAAAAATATGTTAAAACAGTAGACTTCATGTTAAGTGCTTTTACCACAATAAAATAAAATTTGAAAAAAGAAAGAATAGGGGCTGGGCACAGTGGCTCACGCCTGTAATCCCAGCACTTTGGGAGGCCGAGGCAGGCAGATCATGAGGTCAGGAGTTCAAGACCAACTTGGCCAACATAGTGAAACCCTGTCTCTACTAAAAATACAAAAATTAGCCAGGCATGGTGGCGCACACCTATAATCCCAACTACTCAGGAGGCTGAGGCAGGAAAATTGCTTGAACCCAGGGGGCAGAGGTTGCAGTGAGCCAAGATCATGCCACTGCACTCCAGCCTGGACAACAGAGCGAGACTCCATTTCAAAAAAAAAAAAAGAAGAAGAAGGAATAGGAAGCCATTAAACAAGTTTACTAAGTAGAAACAATCTCCTAAAACAGAAAACACCAAGTCCACACAATTTTCAGAAAAGTTCAATCAAATAGATCATTTCAATCTTATATGAAATCATCCAGCGACTAGAAATGACTATTCCTGAATTCAGTCTTTGAGGCCAATATAGTCTTAGTGCTCAAACCAAATAAGGAGAGCATGAGAAATGAAAATTACCAGCCAATCTAATTCACAAAACGTAGATAGAAAAATCTTATACAGCATATTAGCAAACTAAATTCAGTAGTGTATAAAAAGATTATTTAGTATAAGCAACTTTATCCCAGAAATGCAAGAGTAAAAATGAGAAAAAACTATGAATATAATTCACTGTATAATAATTTAAAAGCCATGTGATAATCCCAACAGATGCAAAACATAGTTTTACAAAATTCAAATTCTGACATTTTACATTTTTAACACACTGGGAATATAAGGGAGTATCCTTAACAAGATAAAGTGTAGGCATTTTTTTTTTAAGTAAAACCTACAGTATACATCATTCTTACAGGTGTGAAACTATTAGAAGCATTCCCTTAAAATCTACAAGAAAAAAAGACAGGGATGACCACTACACAGCTTCTATGCCACAATGTACTAAAGATTCTAGCTAGAGCAATGTTAAAAAATAGAAATTTAAAGCATTCATAATTGGAATAGAAGGCACAAAACCATCATTAGTCACAGATGATAACTGCCTATTTTTGTAGAAGGCAAAGAGAACCACATACAAATTATTTAGAAATAACAAGAGAACATAGGAAGGTGACTAGATATAAGATTAATATATGGCTGGGTGCAGTGACTCACGCCTGTAATCCCAGCACTCTGGGATTACAAGGCAGGCGGATCACGAGGTCAGGAGATCGAGACCATCCTGGCTAACACGGTGAAACCCCGTCTCTACTAAAAATACAAAACATTAGCCGGGCATGGTGGCGGGTGCCTGTAGTCACAACTACTCGGGAGGCTGAGGCAGGAGAATGGCATGAACCCGGGAAGCGGAGCTTGCAGTGAGCCGAGATCGCACCACTGCACTCCTACTTCGGCTACAGAGAGAGACTCCGTCTCAAAAAAAAAAAAAACAGATTAATATATAAAATGAATTGCATTTTTGTACACCAGAAAAAAAACAGAAAGAAATGTAATGTTTAAAGATACCATTTAAGATGGCCAATTACAGGCAGCTGCAGTCACAGCACTGCCAAGGAAGGAGAGCAGCAAGTGAAGCAACCTTCAACTGAAGTATCCAGGTTCTCACACTGGGACTGACTAAGCAATCAGTTCAACCCATGGAGAGCGAAGAAAAGCAAGGTGGAGTGATGGCCCACCTGGAGCAACATGGAGCCAAAGGAACCCCCATCCCCAAACAAGGGAGGCAGTGAGTGAGTGTGCGACCCTGCCTGGGAAATCACATTCCTCCCACAGATCTTTGCAATCTGCAGATGAGGAGATCCCCTCATGAGCCTTACATGACGAGCTCCTTGGATTCAATACACAGAGCTGTGTGGAGTCTCAGCAGAGCAGCCACTCCGGCACACATAGAGACCCAAGAGTTTTACATACTCTGGCCCCAGGATCCCCAACAAGGGGGCAGATCCATCTGTGCACTCCCCTAGGAAGGAGGCTGAATCCAGGGAGCCAAGCAGCATCATTCTGCAGGCCCCACCTCCACAGCACCTTACAAGTTGGGACCTGCTGGCTTGGAGTTCCAGCCACAGCTGGGTGGGGCCTCCCTGCTGGGAGCCCTCAGTCACCCCAGCCAGGCTTATACGGACAGAATTTTGATCTCTCCCTGGGATGGAGCTCCTAGAGGGAGGGGTGGCCACCATCTCTGCAGTTGAGTTGACTTAGCTGTTCCAGACTGTCAGCTCTGGAGAGTCTAGGTGGTCCAGACAAGGAAGGGTCCCCACCAACACAGCACACCTGCTCTACCAAAAA